TTTTTCAGCTGAAACAAGTATACCTTGCATATCAACCCATACAATTATGCATGCATATAAGAGTATTCTCAGAAACACATAATCTTTAGATAATGAGGAGAATCATTCAATACATTGTGAAATCTGACTTCAGGAAGTTCTCATGAAGAAATAGAAGTCAGAGTTTAATGATATCTATTAGCATATAACCTGCTACTTCCTCTATTCTTTCTGTAATTCTTCACATTTAGTTTAGCTTCAGAATATCAAAATGACAAATTTTGCATCACAACATTTTAATGATAATCAAGCAAAGGATATTATGTAATTCCTTCTCTGGACATAAAGGTAGGTTAAGACACAGTTAAATGGTAGCTTATGAAAACAAACAGATAAATTTGCAAGTGCTACAAAATATCAAAGGTGTTCTAGCACCAGTTACAGAATTAAGTGACATGCCACAATAAAAATTTATTCTGATTAATTTATCTTTGAATAAAATTTTACAAAGATATTACATTGTATGAGTGATTAGCTTATCACTTTGGGGAAAGCAGGTACAATGGGTTTAGGTTTTAATAATGGAACAATTGGAAAAATACTATTTGGACAGAGATTTCTGGCATGGCTGTGAAATAGAAAACTGTTTTTAAATTAATTTCTGGTGTTAATTAAAGTCCTGATTCAAACCCCCTCTTGAGGCCCATGGAGATTTACCTATTGCATTCCGTAAATTTTGGAACCAATTCTATGACATCTCTACCACAACGGAAAAATGCCGAGTATTGTAATTCAGATATTAAAAAGCAGTTAATGAGATTGCAAAAGAAAGATGAAAGATAAAAATGATGTTATCATTAATATGGTGATGTAAAGATGGAATATTAAATCAGGATTCAGAGCTTTATCTATGTATGTATCTGCAGTTACAAGTTCCCAAATTAGGAGAGTGTATTCTGAAAGAGTTCTGAGATTTCTCCTGATTGTAGCCAGATTCAGGGAAAGATCATCACACCAGAAATTAGTCAGCCAAAATAGCACAATAAGATGTAGAAATATATATATAACTTTTAAATGACTGGAGATATAATTTTAAATGGGAAACATGGGCAATATATTTTGGGGGACATGAACCAAAATAGTAACCCTTCATTAAGTGGAGAAATCTTGTCTTGTTCTATACGAGTCAGGAAAACAACTGGTTGCTGTAAAATATTACAGACATTGTTCTATAATGCAATATACCCCAAGAGATTTAAGATTTTGCATGTCACTGATCAGACTGCAGCTAACACGAGTTAAACTAATTTTCCTGGAGTGGATATATTTTTCTGTAGTGTATGTTGCTGTTGTTAATCATTTTATTGACTGAAGTTCATCCTTGTGCTGAGGACCTGTCCAATACCCATGGAGAGAAATTAAAACTTCTTCCTGCAAACACTTAAGCATCTGTTTATTTTTGCATGAGTAAGGAGCTCTTTTAAATTTTAGCAGGCTTGCTGATGTGTATAGACTTCGGTGTTCATAAATGTTTCATAACATTTATGAACATAACTGTTGAGAAAGACTGTGTTCTAAATGTGTGGTGCATATATCTCGTACTGGCCCTCAGTGTAATGGTGAATTTGCATTAAGCAAACTTTGTTCTTCAGAACTGTAAAAAATATCACTTGTTTGACTCTATAATTTATACGTATTATGAAAAGTAAAAATATGATCCTACTGTCCTTACTTTTAACTCAGAGGAAATAATTTGCTAACAATAAGTGGATCAACATATAAAGGTGCAATATCATAGAAATTAGTGGAGTTGTAACTGGTACAACTAGAAGAATTTTGATGCAGTGTTTTTGAGTAAATTATTGCAGTTGAGAAACTGCATCTTTAGGCTTTTCCAATAATAAATATAGCAAAAATAATAAAGATTGATGGAAAATTTTGGACTATGAGCTTTTATGTACAAGATTGTTATTGAAAGCCTGAAAAAAAAACGTGCGTTAGCAGGCCTACTAAAGACAGGTACCTTGTTGCTGAAGACAGAATCTGTGTTTTAAAAAAATACAGACACTGAAAGGAAAGGGTAATTTACAGGGAATGGGAGAAGAGAAAAGGAATAGAAAGACTGAGCTGCTCCAAAGCCAATTAATATTTTTGAAATGTTAGTTGTCATGACTAGAGAGAGAGAGAGAACTATTGAAATATGAGATAGAGGGAACAAAGATTGACGAATGATAAAGAGAACACATTACATCATTTTTACTGGAAGAACTCAATATGAAGTAAACATCCTAAGGGAAAATTCTGACTAAACCTCTTCAGCATTGGAGGCCTTCAAGAAGAGTTGAACTGGTGCTTAGAAACTATTCTGATAAGTGGAACAGAAAATCTCTGGAAGAAAAGAAGCTATTCTTCATTTATCTTAGTTATGCTTTATCTCCTAAGTACAATAAAAAATGTAGCCACTGTTTGCCCATTAGATATTTTATTTATGCAATGGCAGCATGTTTAATTTACTTTTCTAAAAATACACCTTTCCATTGAACTATTTTTTAAATACACTTGTATTATTTATTTTTATGTTTTTGGAAGTACATGTCCTAAATTGCCTTAGAGCTCAGTAACATTCCTTTGCTCAATATATTTAACACTCAGTTGGTCACTTGTATAGCATGCTTACTGAAGGACCTAAATCATGTATAATTTATGTCTCTTATCTTGTCAGTAGAGATTTGCTTTGACTATTCACATGTGAAAAAATATTCATTCATCTAAATATTTTCAAATACTTCCCTTTAGGTTAGTGGGTGGGAGGTATTTTGTGGGTTGAATATTTCTCTCTCTGTTATTGAACTTACTGATGAAAGGAACAGCTAGAGTAGTAAAAAGCACTTTTTTGGTCTTTAAATGGAAACTACTATTTATTACACATTTTGCTAAAGCATCTGGAAACATGTGGTGAGAAGGTGGAAACTGCAATGAAATCAAGACCCGTGTTAATATGCTTCCTGAACAGATAATATACAAAACAATTTACTAAGATGTGGTGTTAACTTTTTGACTGTTGAATTTGCCATTTTACCGTTCCTGAGATATTTTTTTTCTGTGGCAAGCATCAAAACAATATTTCTGTGAAGAGCGATTTTTATATGTTCTCTCTTTAAGGATTTCATGCACCTCTTAATGCCATTTCATCAAAAAAAAACAACGATAAGAGAACTAGAAAAATATATCATAATAAATTATTAATACCAGTGTAGAATATTGTTCCCTTAGATGTCTTCAAAAATACAGTAAAAGTACTGTGGAGACACAAAATCAGATTCTTTTCCGAATCTATCAGCCAGAGCTAGATCTAGGGCCCAATTAAAATGAACAAGCAGTGAAGTTATTTTGCTGAGCTCAGCCTGGCACAGAAGCTTCCACCAAAAAATGAAACTACAAAGAATAGAACAGAAGAAAAAAATGGTTGATGGTTGAAGTGTCTCCTCTTAGGCGCTGGGGCATCTGATGCACAGAGAACAGATGCTTGGATTTGTTCCTCTTGATTACTTCTAGTTTTCTGCCTACTGCTGCAGTCCCATAAACTGAATGAAAATTGACTTTAGCTATATCTCTTCTTTGGCCAGCAACATGGGCATAACATGGGAGAAGGCACATGGTGCACATAAGGTGTATCCACTGTTTTCCAGCTATGGGCAAGGTTCTAGCCCAAGGTCCATCAAGATGAGGTATACCTAAGCCAGCCCATCCTTCATTTCTATACGATGAGATAGTGAAATTAGTGAGGGAAGGCAGGAAGACCTGACTGACCTCTGTTGGACATAAATCTATAAGTACCAGAGGCCTTCTGCAAGAATAAAAGCATGTCAGCTCTGCTTCCCTGAACAAGCTTTTAACATTCATTGACCAGGTTTCCATAACATTAATTTTTAGTATTTAAAATATATTGGTGTTTACTATGGAAAAGTGTTTGTTTCTTTGGAAAATGTATGAAGTAGAGCAGTTGTTCAGCAGAGAATTTGATTGCTCCAGAACTGTGTTCAGCAACAGCATAATGTTAAGGTAACATACCTCTCTACCCAGGTTCTTGTAAGATTGACTAGGAAAATAGTAAAAACTTTGGTAGAAATTTGAGCCTAAGTATATCTTCTGCTGTGGAAAATGCCGTAAAGGAAAGATTTCTGACCAGCATAAGTCCTTGTCAGTATTATTTACAAAACCACCCAAAAGTTCTTTCTCTGTTTCTCTACCAAAAATTAAGGAGAATAGCTCTATAATTGTCTTTTGACTAAATAAACAAAAGGATAAAGATTTTTAAATCTTCAGCTGCAGTTCAGAATGCAAATTTAAACTGAAGACATTCTGCCTCTATGTCTTGAACCTGATAAATCCTCTGTTATTGTTAGATCCTTTGAAAGTAAATTTATCTGCTTAATAGAAAGGTGCAGCACCTTTTAAGAGTAACACACCCCCACTTAAGAGCTGCCTCCAGACCTCGTAGAGGAAGTGTCTGTAAGATTTTTCACTACATTAGCTGAGTATTGGATCAGGTTCTTTGTTCTACCTATATTCTCTTGTTTGCATTTCCTCAATTTAAAATTGAAAACATTTATTGATTGCATGCAAAGAACAAGTGTAGTACATGATACAATCTAAACATCAAGTTTATAAAAAATATTCATCTTCCCACAGGCTATGACACTGAATATCCATTTTGATGCACTGAAAAAGATTGAGTTTATGTTTTTATAAGTCACAATTTGAAAGATAGGGTTTTTTTGTCTTTTGTACTATATGGACTTCCTGTTATGCAGATTGAAACCAGAGAAAGTATGTGTTATTTTAATTTGTATAGAACTCTCTGCAGTTAGAGATTGAATACTCAACACAAAGGATATTCCTTTTGCTTGGATTCAAAAATTAGAAAGTAAAAATGAATCTTGCTTGTGATAATTTTTAACTTATATAATGGAATAATATATTATGCATTTCACAAAGTTTTATTTTGCCTCTTTCCTTAGGTGAGAAACTTGGTGGACAGCAGCAAAATCTACAAAGATTCAAAGTAAGATTTCACATGCACTGACTTTCTAAGTGTTCACTGTTAGAGAATTTGGCATTGTTAGAGATTTTTGCAGTCATAGTTATTTTTTTCCTAAAAGGCTTATGACTTTTGGTTCAGGTTCTGTGCTATAAATGACGAACTCCCTTCTACTTGGCAATATTTAGTAGGTCTTGGAAGGAGTATCCATTCTGATATTGCAAGAGGTTCTTCTAGCCGGGAAACAGCACAATGCTTGGTTCAGAAGATCATGTAATAAATTCTTGTATATATCTCCTAAGGTGCAGGAGTGAAATCGGAGTTCAGATTCTGCAGTGTTGGAATAAAAGTCTCGCTGCTGCAGTGTGATGCCTAAGGTGTGCTATAAATTAAATGGTAATTTAGGGAATGCAATGAATGAGTAACAGCAGTAACAACAAAGGGTACTGAGCACTTCTAGCTGTTCTGTCTTGTGTGTTGTATCTCACACTAGAGTTTGTACAATGAATAATACTCATCTGTAAAGGGAAAGTAAAATTGGAAAACAGTTCACTGATTCTTATAAGAAAGTATTCTGCAAGCTATATCTGTATAAGAAAGATACGACAAAATTTTAATACTCTTTCTACCTACTTTGCATAAGGTAATATGGCAACTAGGCACATATGAGCTGACTCATCTTTTTGTTGAGTAAGGCAGGGTGTTCATTGACTTGGCTATGAAGTAGATAAATTTGTAGTGAGAAAATATTTTACAGCTAGTAAAGCATCAAGTAAATTTGTGCTTATTTTGTATATGTACCGACAGTTTGGCAATTTATAATACATTCCATATATTACATAATATATGGATGATAATGTATAGGAACTTTTGGGTTGTTGATCATATTAGGAAACAGCCAAATTATTTCTGTATTCCAGGGGAATCTTCAAGTTTTATAAGTTAGTACATTATGTATTATTTTGTATTATTAACTCATTAATAGCTGAAATAGGTGGTGAGAAAAAATATCGCCTATTTTTCCGGAGTTATTAAGTTATTTATAGAAGCAAAACCACTGACTTCATTGTGGAGAATGACAGAAGAATCTGAAGACGATTGAGTGAATGGACAATAAATTGCCAGATGAGATTCAGCATGCAGTAAATGTAAAGTGATGCTCCCTGAGAAAAAACAGTACTAATATCGCAAGAACCCACAATCTGTAGTGGTTCATTTCAATTCAGACTTAGATAGTTCTTCACAAAAGTAAATACAGCAACACTGGGTGAGATGAGGAGCAGGACAAAAAGGATGATCCAAAAAATAAGATAGTTTTTGTATTAGTAATAACTATATATCTAGTATTCTTCAATTTGTGACAGAAAGAAACTAAAGAAAGTCCAGACAGAAGGTTATGAAATCATGGCTGGTGTGTAGAAAATAATAGAAGGGAACAATCATTCTTTTTTGGTTCCAGTACAAAATCTATAGTCCAAAAACTGAAAGTAAAAAGTGCAAGGTTCAGAAAAAATACAGCTCATAGTGATGATGTGAAACCCCCTGCAAAAATTATTGGGGATTTAAAATTTTCTATAGACTCCAGGGAAAGCCAGAAAAAAATGTGGAAGAAAAATCCTATAAATCTGTAAATACACTGAAAATCCCTCTGGCTTCAGAAAGTCCCTAAGTTGCAATTGTGTGGATACATGCCCAGGGATGATACATATTTGTACTGTTATTACATTTCCCAAAATTTCCATTATTAGACACTCAATACCCTAGGGGAGCTATCATGTTACAAAGATCATTGGTCATTCCTGCTTTTATGGTATAACTTATAGAATATTCTATCAATTGGAAAGTAACAGTTAGAAATATAGCTAGTGAGCTAAACAAGTTACCAGACAAATACTTCAGTCTCTTTCTAGCTTAACTGTTTTAATGTAATTTTATATTTTAAGTCACTCTTGGTCTTGTGTTAAATTGCAGTAGCACTATCAGAAGTTAAGAAAAGGCTAGCCATTCCAGCAAGATTTATCCTTGCTTAGTTAAATCGTGTTGTGTATTCACAGAAAACACAAACTATGTTTTGCACAGGCCTCGAAGGAGGTTGCTATTCTAAGTCATAAGGGACTTAATGAAATGTCAGTATTTTCTTCTCATTCCTCAATGAGATGTCTACATACAATAATACAGTGGGGAAACGGTTTTAGGTAAGAAGGAAAAGTTACCACACCAAGTAAGAAAGGTTGTTGTGACTCATGAATTAAAATGGGATTTATGAACATGAGAGAGAAAAATAAAATGATAAATTAACAGGAACAAGATACTGTTGTGGTTTCATCTCAGAGGGCAACTGGCACCACACAGCTGCTCACTCCTGCCTTTCCCCCCAGTGCTGAGAGGGAGAAAATAAATCAAAAGTCTCAGGATTTGAGATAGGACAGAGAGGGGTGACTCCCCCATTACAGTCGTGGGCAAAAGACAGACTCATTAGGGGTATTAAAAAAGAACACATATTAAATACAGATGCAACAACAACACTTAAAAGATGGAGTAGGACAGTGAGAAACATTATCATATCTTGAAAAAGCCTTCTCCCACCTCTTCTTTCCTCACTGGCTTGGCTTTGCTCCCGATATTTCTACCTCCTCCCTGCAGAGATGAAGGGGGCAGGGAATAGGGAGTGCAGTCAGTGCTGCCACTTCTTCCACCTTGGAGGGAGGAAGGGGAGCTTCTGGAACTTCTTCCCCTTGCTCCAGTATGGTTCCCTCTTACAGGAGACAGTCCTCCACAAACTTCCTCCAATGTGAGTCCCTGCCATGGGCCGCAGCATTTCCCTCATTGCTCCAGTGTGAGACACCAACTTTCTCCAACTTGAGTCCCTCCCACAGGATGCTGCATTTCCCAAGTTGCTCCAGTGTGGGATATCCCCACGTGTTGCAATCCCCCCAGAATTAGACTACAACATCTGGGGCCACTTCCACAAGATTCTGGCCTAATTCAGGTGCAGTCACCTTCTGCAATGTGGGGACCCCCACAGACCACAGATTGGCATCTGCTCCACTCTAGGCCGTCATGGGTGGCAGGGGGAACAGCCCTGCCATATCACCACAGGCTGAAAGGGGGGTTACTGCTCTGGCACATGTCCCTTCAACTTTCCTCCTCTGTTCTTCCACTGATCTCTGTGTTCACGTAGATGTCACAACTTGTCCTCACAACTACAACTCGTCCTCCCAGGTCCCTTCTTAAAACACAGAGGTGCAACTGATTGGCTTGGCCTTGGCCAGAGGTTGGTCTGACTTGGAGACAGGGGAGCTTCAAGAAGCTTTTCAGAAGGGGCCACTGCTGTAGTCCCCTCCCCAGCTACCAAAAACCCCATTCTCTCAAACTCAGGACAGCTACCTAAGACACCCCTCTCTGATCAAAATTCAACTGATACTTAACTTCTGAATAGAAAAATCATTCTTTACAGTCTTCTCTTTAAAAAGTGTGTAACAATGGGGTTTCGTTCGTGGGGACACTGTTTTTATTTGTTTTTCTGTGGAAATAAGTCAATATTATTTTTAATATTTAATATTTAATATACTCTAATTTTTCACAGTATAAAAACACTGAACAAAATGGGAAAAACTATTCTTCTCACAACCACCAATACCTCTCTTGCTTTTTATTTTTTATTTTCCATATTCCCATCAGCTAGATAAGTTTCTGTTTTTTCTGGCTTATATGTTGATACAAGGTTGATGAGCACACGTCACTGTACTCTTGGAGAAGGGCTGTCCAAGGGCTGTGTTTATCTGCAAGAGGTGCTACTTAATAGCATCAACCTTGATTAGTACAAGGCATTATTTCTAAATTTCTTCTCTGTCTCTCTGTCTTTTTATGTTTCAAGTCAGAAAGAAACAGTAGAGACAAACACTGGAAGATGGTGTCTAGAGCTAATTGACTAGCATATTTAAAGTGGGTTGTGGTTGCTTAGAAACATTTATAGCCTTTAACAGAAGTCTGATTATTAAATAGTCTGCAGGGCAATGTAGGACAACATGTTTTTAGAAGAGCAAGAATCACAGTGAAAGATGGTTTGTGGCTTAATATTAAAGGGAAACATATTTACAAATAACATTTTATTTTTTAAGCCCAATTAAACAACATTACTGAACAAATTTTGAACAGTGCTTATGCCAGTGCAGTAAACTGAAACTCAGTGTCATGATGACTGTGGGCCAACTTGCTGTTTATTTCGTAATGTTCTCTGTTAATTCCAGAATTAGTTATTTTTTTCTCTATGGCTGATCTTGAGAGCTTGCAATCTATTTATTATAGTAAAGTGTATATTATGTAGGAAGAATCTGTTTATGCAGATCAAAGGACACAGACATGTCTGAAGTGCAGCAGCCTTTGATTATATAACAGCCTTATGACAAAAAATATCTTACAATGAGGGAACACTCAAAGTCTGAATTCTGTAGAGCATAGGGCAAACAATATGTCCTACAAAGGTACTGATATTTCTAATACAGATGACTTATCAAAAGTATCTAAAATAGATCTAATCTATAACCAGCTATATTTATCTGTTGAAATCTCATTGTCTTATTATGTATTTTAAAAAAAATGTAAATAATACCTATTATGTCATTTGTTTTGGGATTCTCCATGACAAAACTGTTCAGTCTTTCTAAAGCATGTCTCAAATTTCTTCACAAAGCATTATTGAAATCTTAGGGAACTTTGATTTTCTAAGTAATGTGCTTCTATTTCCCTGCTACATGTGAAACTGTTCATACTTTGTTGCAGCAATGAGGTCACTTAAAACATTGAATCTTCATAAAAGATATGGATATTGTAAAAACTGACAGGTTTATTGTACACTTTTTTCTTTCCTATAGCCTAGCACAAAGTATTATGCAAAGGGTAGGGTGAGAAGAAATCTCTCTTGTCTAGTTGAGATTTAGATTTAGATTTAAGTGTCCATGTTTTGTCAAGAAAAATTATAAATCACAGGAACATTATAACAAGTCTGGTCTGGACATGAATTA